ATTTCAAACGCGCCTACAGAACAAAGCAATAAACAAAAATCTCGCTTTAGCTGCAGTTTGTGTATGTATTCGTATTGTAACAAGCTTGGGTCAGAACAGGCATCAAAGTTAGGAACCTCAACAAAGATTTCTTGGAGAGATTTTTATCTGTTTCACATTAATGACCATGCTACTATCAGTTTTAGCAAAGTGGACCCCGCCTGTTTGCGGTTTAGTATTTCCAGATTTCTTGTGAAACACAACGCCAAATTGTTTGCCAAAAATTTGCTTGATTTGACATAAAGTATATCTAAAATATTTTGAAGAAAATTCTGTTTAGGAAGCTGAAATAAGAAGGTTTAATTCTACACACTTTTGGCTGGTATTTGTAATTTAGCCAGCCCAAGATCACCATTACATTTTCTTAGCGCTGATTGACTGAATGCCCAAGCTTCTGCGGCGGTTCACAGATGTTTTTCACTTTGTGTATTAAAATATATTAATGTACATTTGTTGTTTGAGCTATTGAAATTGGCAGTTTTAAGCACTTTTAGAGGAAGTTTCAAGTACTTGCGGTTGTCCCGGCAAATATAAGGGTCTCACTCTAATCAGAATATGGACACATGTCACGGGTTTTGAGTGTGTGGACTTTCTATTACACTTCCCACATTTGTCCCATATAATTTCTACCAAAAATAATAAAAGATCTGGTTAATGGAAACAAGTAAAACTTTACTATCATAGTCTTGTTTTAAAATAAGCATAAATGCAAGTGACATGTTGAACATAGAAGACGATAAATATCTCTAAATATATTGCTGTGCCTGCTTTTCTCTTTATTTTTAAATTGAAAAAAAAAAAAATTAAATTGAAAAAAAGATAGATATTGGTCCGTAATGTGCTCTTCACTACCTGCTGACGCAGGTGACTCAACAATTCATCAGCATACTGGATTTTAATGACTGCTTGTACGCTGTTAGATCTGTCTTTGATCATTTTTATACTTATATATTGGTGTGATTAATCAAATATGTTCTGATGAACGTCTCTCAACATATTTCTTAAACAGGTTTAAAACTCTAATATATTCTAGAACCATACATTTTAAAACACGTTTAACACAAAATCACCCAACCAAGATGGACCTAATTTGCGTCCAAATTCAGGCCATGGGACTTGTATGCTAAACACAGAAACATGGCAATGATGTAGTTTATGTCAACTGATCTCATCGCAGGCTTGTCTGGTAGGACATGGCTCACCTACTAAAGCCCATCTCCGTCCGCTTCCCTTCCTACTTCTCCCTCGTTCCCCTCCCCTCTTGCTTGTCTCAGATAGCTTTTACCGCTCTGCTGATTTCACAAATAGGCCTCATTGATTGAATCAGATTCTTGTGGATAGAGCGGCTTTATTGAGTGGCTTTTTCACTGATGGACAGCAACAGGAGGACGTGTATGTTTGTCACATGCACGCATGTGTGAACGGCAGGGAAAAGCTAAGACTTCCTCCCCTGAATCCCCCTCTTCCTCTAATCCAGCATTCGTCCCTCTCCCAGGTATTCAGCAGCCGCAGCATTACAAACTCTTGCGGGATTGCAACTCTGCCATCCTCTGAGTGACTGACATATTATGGCATCTGCATGCTGACTGAGAAGTATGTTAATTGTGACGACATCCTGGGCAAGTTGACATTAAACGGTTAACTGCTCTTCATGGTGGTGTAAAAGCTGTGCTTCCGCCCAGCGTACATGAGGCAACATGATGAAAGTCAGCCCAGCTTCTGCACAGCATAGTCGCCAGGATCATTGTTTGCTTTATGATCCTGTATGGAGTCACTTTGAGTTTGTCTTCTTTTCCTGAGAACCTTTCCAGGAGTCACAATACTCCTGGATGGGAGTGGGAGGGGAGTTTCACAGGACTCTCGCGCAATCCGTAAAAGCAGTTTAATTTAATTTGTTTGACAGAAAAAAAATCTGTATTCTTTACATGTTCCATTGTCTAAATCTACTTCTTTATGCAACTGTCTTTCCTCTTTCCCAACAAGAGACTAGTTGGAGCAGCATGGCCTTAAATAAGAGAGGAACTGTTGGTTTAATAATTTCACATCATAAATGATCTCATTTCAGGTCTAAAAACTCAATCCAATAGTATTGGCTGGCTTTGCTGGCACAGTTACTGAGCATGAAGCTGTATCATCTGCCCTCCACTGAGCCTCTCCACAGAGCAGCGCTCACCTCATCCTAGCTGGAGGATCTGCTCTCCCCCGTCTTTCTGCTCTTTATTTTGTCTCTCTCTGCTCTCAACAGGCAGGTTGCCACCTATACAGAGTAGGTTGGATTGGGATCGTTTTGTGTGTGCCTCTTAAACCCCTGCAGACCTGCACGTCTGTCATAATAAAATGCACATAGATGCACATAAGCTTCTCTAACATTTCTGCTGCTGAGCTTCTTTATTTTTCAGTTTTTTTCTCCCAACAACCCTTTAAATATGAAAACATTGCTGTGATGTTTGCTGTTTCTTTCTGCGTTTCCATTGGGCAGCAGGTTCACGTTCGTTGATACCCAGAGATTCCCTGCCATAATCCTTCTCATGCAGCTTTTTATACATCACCATGGCAAAGATAAATGTAGTCCCAAAAAAAATCAACTTGAGAAAGCAACGAATGTATTGTTGAGAATTTTTATGGAAACTTCTTATTCTCCATTGGCCTGGCCTACTTTCAAACAACTGCTGACTCTTTTCAGAGAAAACACAGAATGGTGTGGTCAAGGTGCGCTGGACTTTTTCATAAATAAATATTATAAAGATGCAATATAACTAGAATCATTGTAGTCAGTTATCTCTTTTGATGTATAAATTTGTCCTATATCTGTGTGGGATATAATTTTAAACAGCTATAAAAATCCCTAACTTAATTTAACTAAAATTAAGGCCTCAAAATCATTTAAAAAATGTTGCTCAGCCTAAACAAAAGTCATACATTTTGGCGTGACTGCCCTATTTAATTTCATATGTAGCTTTGTTTTTTTCTTGTGGGATATTTTTGTCTTGCAAAGGCATGTTCAGTGTGTTTTGTGACTCAGGGTGGTTGGTAGCCAGTTGCTAATATACCCCTTTTCTAGCTAGCTAGCTTTTTTTTATGTCTATGACAGGTAAGTGTAGATGTCTCACCAACTGGGAGAAAAGTGTTTGTTTTTGCCACTGGCTCACTTCTGTTGCCTGCCCTAATGAGCCTGTGGGATCCCCAAATTATCCCCTACTTTTGACATTTTTTTCAGTCTTAAAGTTTATTCAAGCTGGCGTTAAAAAGGCCTTAAAAAGTTGACTTTCCAAATTCTCTGGATACCCTGATAAAATGCTCCTATAAAAAAAAAAAAAAACAGGCCGATGTTTGCAGAAGAAATGAAGGCTGAATTCTTTAATTAAGAGGAAGTTGTTTCACAGACTAAACAGTATACAGCTCTCCAGCCTTATATTTAGTCAGGGGAGACCAGCCTCTGTCACTCTCTCTCTCACTGTGGCTGTGTTGACGAGGGGTCTCGAGGGAGGGCTTAACTCCGAGTCCTCCTTTTCTTCCCCCCTCCACATCCATTCTTTCCTCATCATCCTCTGAATGCGACACGCTGTTGCTGAACTACCAATTTGTCGAAGAGGCCCTCCGCTCCGAGACTGAATAGAGGAACGGAGTCAGCTGCCTTTTATTTCGTCGTCCACATGAAGATGCGGTTTGCGCACGGCGGCGCAACCAGTCCGTCTTTTTGAACTGAAACGTTTTCCAAAAAGATACAACAAAGCCACAAAATCGATAGTTACTTTTGGTTGGAGTGAGGTCAGTGAAACTTGCCGCGAACACTTTTGTTCTCCTCACTTTGGAAAATGATTCACATACCAGCCAAGCTTAAATATGATGCACTACCTGGGAAATTACAGGGGCTTTTGTGTTGTCATGGTTATTGAGTGTCTGGTAGCTCCAGGGGAAATGGAGTTTCAAGGTGCTGGGGGAGGGATTGAGGCGACGGAGGGAGAGATGGGTGTTAGGAGGAGGGCGGGAGGTTGCTATCTTAATTGCTTTCCGTGAATAATTTCAGTTCCCTAATTTGGCAATAATGACAGTGGCTGCTGCTTTTGTATTTATTTATCCAAACATTAATTGACAGGACTGACATTAGGTAGGGCGGTTATTGCGAGTTTGATTGCGCACAGGGGAGCAAAGAAAATTACAGTAATTATCATTCTGATATGGATTATGAATATGCATTCTCACACTTAATGTATCTGTCAGCATTTTAGCAACAACAAGCCACTCTGGAATGACAATGGCACTTTAGCTTATCCCCATCCATGTTTGACTAAGCCCTGTCCAGGCAGTTCTTGTAGAGAACATTAACATGTCGTGTTGAAACGATTCAGCGGCTCCATGGGAGCACATAAACGCCTGGCATGTAGGTTCCTTCACTGTGTTGGGCTTAAGACTGAAACGATTAATCGTAATTAATCGATTACTGAAATAATCACCAGCTAATTTAGTAATCAATTTGTTGTTAATTGGGGTATACAGACTCAAAAAAGGGCCCTTTGCTCAAAGAACAACTTGCGTAAGAGCAGTAATTAAGCCAAAACTGTATAAAAACTATATGTTTTCCAAATTTCCTACTAAGAACCTTTTGCTAATCAATTAATCCCAAAAATTATTAACAAACCAGCCACAGGAAGTTTTGGAAGTATTTTTTTAGCTGCAGATGCATCCTGTGCATTTGCAACGTTCACTAAAGGCAATAAAATTCTCCTTTTTTGAAAAAAAAAAAGTTGAATTTATTTGAATCTATTAGTATATTTCTAAAAGACTTGCATAGTTAAATAAAAAATATGCAGAATGTGCCATTTTTTATGTGATTCATTGATTAATCAGATTAATTTTTGAGTAACCCATTGCTAAATAATTGTTAGTTTCAGGTCTAGTTTGGATTAGTTGTCGAAATATATATATGAATGTATAAATATTTGTCTGGTTCTCTTTTTCAGGCTGAGGGTGAAGACAATTTGAAGAAGATGCAGCTGATGGAGCTGGCTATTCTCAACGGGACATACAGAGACAACAATGTCAAAACACGTAAGTCAACTGATCGGTCTATTAGGCAGCACACATGGCTAATACCTTCATAACACACACCATATATAACCAGGCCAGAAGTTTGTCTTACTTGTGAACTAACAACAGATTAATTTGTAACAAGATTTAGTGTTTTCACATTAACTTAAACCACAGCAAATGATTAACAAGCTTTCTAAACAATCAGATTGTTTTCTGTATTACATCCAGGACCACTTCTGTTTTTATGTTTCTTTCCTTCTCAACAATTATCCATTCATCCTTCCCTTTGTTATCCATAAATACATCTCCGTACATTGGATGTCATCAAAAACATAATTTATTTTAGTAATTCAGTTTTTAAAAGTGAAAATGATGCATTAATCAATTTATTATACCAAAATGTATAATGTTGAGATGGCATATAAAACCCCCCAAATTAATAGTCAGGGATATTTCACCTCTAAATAAGATGGATTAAGGTAACCAACAAGATTAATATAAAATTGAGTGGAAGGACAAACTGTGGTAGAAAAAAAGCACATGATGAGGTCCACACCCCATGCGTGATTGTATGGTGTGTTGCTAAATATTAAAAGTGAGTCTATTTTTCTTATGCAAGTTCTTGAAACTTGAGCAAGTGTTTTGCAGTGATTCTCAAGGTGTGAATTAATGCAAAATGAGCCCAGACCAAGTATTGAGATCTTTTACATTGCAGTAGATGGGCTCTGTGTTTAATAGAGCAACATTACTGTATTAAAAGCCTTGTTTTTTTTTCTAATTTTCTGAAATCTAATTATGGGTTTTCATAAGCTCTAAGCTGCAATCATCTGAATTAGCTCTCAAAATGTGTCCCTCTTGTAGTGGGTTCACTTTTTGAATTGAATTACTGAAATAAACAAACATTTGAATGATATTTAGAATTTTTTGACAGGCCTCTGTACATCCTCCTCCTCACCTGTTTCCATCCGCTTGATTCTGCATGTCAGTCACATGGTTTCATTAACATTGAGCTTTTACGCCAGCCAGTCCAGAACCTGTGCATGTTTTATTCTTTGTGATCTCTGCTTTCATTTCAGATGGTGCTAGAATTAATTATTTTGCACATTTGCGCTTCAATCTGTGAAATTTGCATTTTAATTGACCAATTTAAGCATTTATTTCTTTCTTTTGTGGTGTTGCATTAAGCTAAGCATCTAACTGCAGTCACAGAAGCACTTGATTTATTTAGAAAACGGCTAAAAAATGTTTTTCACATCCAACAGAAGCTGACTGCTAACAATCCATTTAAATTGATCTGCAATATGTCGCAATATCAACCTTTGTGTGAAAACCCCACAGTGTTTCTGCTGTGGCTGTTTTTATCGGTGTTGTCTGCAGTCATTTCTGTTGTGTCTGTACCTCACTGTTCCCATTAAGGTTGTAGCTGCTGTGGTGATGGGAGCGCGTCCAGTGGGTCACAGCTGTATTTTGTGCTTTTTCTGTTTTGGTGTGGGGAGGGTTTCATTCATTTTTTATCTTTGGCTGTGTTGATTTGTTGTATTGATTACATTTTTTTGCAACAGACTGTCGCTTTTGTGGTTCACCACCATGATCATTGCATGAACTAATTTTCCTTTTTGCTCCTCTCCTCTTTTTGTCCTCTCCCCTCCTCCCCCCTTCCTTCCCATTCACCTTTCTTTTCCTCCTTTGTGTTTCCGCCCTTCTTCTGTCCATCTGTGATATTGATCGACCACGCTGCACTTTGTCTTCCTTCTTTCTTTCTGCGCCTGTCCTTTGCTCTCTTGCTTATGGCAGCCCCCCTTGCGTTCTCTCTTGCAGCAGCGGCGGCGGCCGCTCAGGGCCCCCGCCTCATAGCGGCCCCCGCGGGTCAGGTGTTGCCTCCGCCGGCACTCCGGCCCCCAACGCCGGCCGGGGCCCCCATCATGAACCTCATCCGGCCCACTCAGATGGCCGCTATGCTGCCCAACGGCACCCCCACCTTGGTGCCTCCCACACCAGACGGCGGACTAATCTACACCACCCCTTATGAGTACCCCTACGCCTTGGCACCCACCTCGTTGCTGGAGTACCCCATCGAGCACAGTGGGGTTCTAGGTAAGAGAGCCTGGGGGAGCTTGGGTACAGCGGCCAACTTTAGCCAGCCTGGACAGGAGGGCAGCTTGTTTTTCCCCGGAATCGGGGTGCTGGACGCAGCTACCATGAGCCACAGTCAGGACTTGTTGAAAGGTAAATATGTTGTGTCCACCTGAAGATAAAAAAAAAACAGATACACTCACAGGGTGGATGTGCTGGTGGAGCTCTTGGTGATTGCTCATACGGACACTGCAATATACTGAAAGGGGGACAGACGTTACAGTGTGAACGCTGGGCTGTTGAAGTCTCTTTTTACTCCAAAAGTGAGCTTATTTCACTGTTTTTAGTTTCACTCTGGCCAAACAAATCCGCTCTCAGGTTTACATTGCCTCTTCTCTGCAAGGTTTATAGCAGAATCTGCCTCAGTATGAAGTGAGGCACACTGACAGAAACACACTTTCTTACATGCAGCCTGCTCTCTAACCTTTTCATGCACTGGCCTGGAGGCATATTCAGTCTGGCGGCAGATCCCATCGGATTTCTGCAGCTTTTGAAATCATTTCTGCACGCTGTTCTCCGCGGGCAGGCCTTGATGCCTAGAGACCGTCCCTCTCTCGCTCCCATTGGGGATGTTCATTAAATTCCTCCAGTATGCCCTTTTTTCTCCCCTCTCCCTTCCTCACATCGTCTTAGCCTCACCCCTGTTAAACTTGAGCTTTCTCTGCTTTTTACCTGACATCCTCCTTAGTTTCTGTCAGGAGGGACAGTTAAATATTTAGCTCCACATATTATTCTTATTCTCAATGGTGCTTAAAGCTCAACACATCTGCTACCAAAGAGACATCTGTTGAATATTCTGACATGTGCAGCATATGTTGTGCTAAGGACTGTTGGAATGTTGCTCCCAGGTTGAGACAAAAGAGCCTCTGTCAGTTTGTGCGGATCTCTGTTTGACACAAACTCCTCTAATGTCTCTTAAGATCTCATGCCGGGAGCTTTTTTTGTGTTTTTTTTTTGTAATTTTTTTTAGTTGACCCGAGCGTCATAGGTGCCGCTGGGAAACATGTGTAGAACAGGCAGGGACAGCTGACTGGCTTTTCTCTCTTTAACTTTCAGGGTTACACCAGCTTAGTGCATTTTATTTACTCACACTATCGATCGGTGCCTTCAGCAACACACACCTCTCGCATTCACACACTCTCACGGATGTGGCTCTGCTTTATGCAGTTCTGTATCCAGGCACTGGCAGGTCGTCGGCTTCTTTAGAGTTGTGCTCAGTGAATGTGAAAAGTTTAGACACCCCTGGGAAAATGAGAAACGGGTCAATTATTTCAGTGGAAAACAGGCCATAAATTGTTTGGAATAATACTATAATTTATTCCATACTATAATAAAATATAGTATGGAAATAACTTTATTATTAGTTCTATGCTCTGTGTTTTTGCATTGACGTATCGACATGGCAACATTTGTTCACTCGTCTTTGCAAATCTGTCAGATTGAGAGAACATTTCCTTTGCACAACCTTCTTCAGGTCTGTGTTTGGACTGGGCCATTCCAGACTTCAGTCCTCCTGTGTTGAAACTTTTCTTTTGTTCCTTTGGATCCGTGCTGTACGTCGGGCTGCTGTAAGTCGTGTGCTTTGGCTCTTGTACACTAATTGTTTGGTGTGTTTCAGTAAAGTCTTGCATATTTCGCTTATTATTGAGCAGACACAATAAAAAAGGCAGGAGAAGTTTATTTGTGGAAATAATTGTTTGTGCTTTCATCTTGGACACCCTGGTGCAAGTGGAAATTCCTCTTCCTGTTACTGAATTTGTGCCAACATTGACTTGAATTTGGGATTTTTTATAATTCTTTCCATCTTGACTAATTTTCAGCACGAGATTAAGAAGAACAGGCCCAAAGTATCACGCAGCCATCACCGTGCTTCACTGTGAACATGATGTTCTTTTGATGATGTGAACTGTAGGGTTTGGCATTGAGCACAGTTGGTGGAGTTTGGATATAGTGGAGTTTGTAGATGAACATTTAGTAAAGATTCTAAGAGTTATGAATGACTGCAGCTGGATATCTCTGGTTATCTTGAGATTGTTTGATCAAAGAGGCTTGAAACTTTGGAAGTATCAGCATCGCAAGTTATCAGAAAGAATCTCACTGATTGCAAACAGAGCAAATGGCTGATGATCCAAATGAGTCCCCAACAATACCAACATGTGCATTGTTTTGTTTGCATGTCTTAAGGTGTGAGTTTTTGTGTAACTACTTAGGAAGCTGAGTAAAGGCAACACTGTAGGTGTTAGAAAGACATAAAGCCACATTCAAGAAAATGTTGTGAAATTATTTGTTTTGGTGTCATTACTTTAAAAAAGAAAGCATAACCTGTTTTCAGGGGTGTGTAGACTTTTTAGATTCTTTGTAAACCTTGTCACAACAGTTTCAGAACAACAGTCTTGTTGAATTTGGACCTCAATATGACGATGTTTTCTCTGGGAGACTTTCTGTTTTTGCTTTTAATCCCTGCACACATCACTTTTTTAATAACTCTTGCACGTCTTGCAACACGCAAACAGTTTGTTTGTGTCATGCATATGAAGCCGTGTCAACCTCTGCAGCAGGGGGAAAATCAGTTGTGACAGATATAGGTGGAAAATGACTGGCTGTGCCGTCAGTGAGCAGATTGACCAGAAGAGAAATGGTGAAAAGCTGGAAGGAGAAAATGAAGGAGAGGTGGAGAGGCAGGTGGTGTCTGCCACGATTCAATTACCATCAGAGCTGGATTGGATTTCCCCACCTTTCAAAAATAAAGAGACAAATTTCTCTCGGTTCCCTTCTGGATCCCACAGGGAGATTCACATTATTCCTGTAGACAGCCCAGCACCCCCTACTCTTTACCACCCATATATCTTTGAGCACTGTGGAAGTTTAGTACTTAAGTTATACAGTTTTTAAAGCAAATCTCCAAAAAGATGTATTATTTTTTTTCTACCAAGTTTTTCTACTTGTAAAAAGAAAAAAAAAAGATATATGTGTTGTGTATATGTACCATAATCTGTATTATGTTAATTGTATTGTGTAATCCAAGCATTATAAGTCCTAATGGTTGAAATGTGAATGTTGTTACTGTAAAAGATGACTGTTTTTTTTTCCTTCCTCAAAGTGAACGGTTTCTAACCTTGTGGACCTGTTACAATCTAGGTGCAATGGCTACTAAAGTGAGACGGCATGACACGCGGGTCCATCCTTACCAAAGGATTGTGACCGCTGACAGAGGTCAGTTTAGTCTCCTAGCTACATTTTGCTATTGACTGATGCATTTATATGAATATTATGCCTATTATGCCTCACTGCCTTAGTCAGAAACTTGTACATTGTCTGTATTGTACTATATTTTTTTTGTTTTCCTCCCCCACCTTACCTGCCCTATGCAGAGAATCTCAATAAATTAGAATATTGTTGAAAGAATCATTTATTTTAGTAAGAAAATTAGAAATTTAAAGCCTTTTATTATTGTGATCCATTACACACAAAGTGATGCATTTTCAGTGTTAATTTCTGGTAGTAGTGGGAAATATGGCATAAAAATAAAATCTCAGATGTTTTAATACCGATTTATGATTTTAATCGCCCTTATTTCAATCATCCCTTCAGTGAATTGTATGACAGAGTATTTAGGCCGTTTATTGTTTACTTATGAGAATTAGTCCTATTATCAGCAATTTTATTAGGAAAAAAAAGCTTGGTTATTAGGACCAACTGAATTATTTTTTCTGCAAAACAGACAGTTGTTTGTGCAATAATTTCCAAGTTTGATTCTGACATGTTAAATTATAAAGATTTCTATAAAGTGTGATTTGGAGGTGCTGCTACCCTTCCATTCAATTGTCTTATTATTGGCAATAGCTATTATGGCTAACACTCAAATAAGTGAAGTGACTATCTGCTAGGCAAATATTAAAGCCACACGTAATCTGTGTATATATTTTATTATATTTTCATTCTACCAAACGTTTTTCTTCCACTGAACTTTATGATAATGTGGTCGATTTCTGTCTTCAGATGCGTTTCCATTATAAATGTGCACAAAATTTGGCAATATTCTCACAAAAAAAGAAAAATACTAATCCCATTAAACAAAAAACACAATTAAAATCACACGTGAATAAGTTTGTCCATGCGATAGGTCATTAAAAACTGCCGCACTATGACACTGTACTACTTACTGTCATCTTCTCCTTGAAGATTTTCCACTGCAGTTTTGTGAAATAATCCAATTTCCATAAGGACAAAAAAAACTATCTCACCCTAGAGCCAAACTTATCAAAAAACAAGTTTTCAAAATTGCTGTGTTTTCATCAGTCGGGTTTAATTTCAAAATGTTAACTTGCGTAATTATATGGTCAATAGAAATGCAGCTAATTTATTTAGCAAAAAGAACATAAATGAACAGTATGTCACTTTGTGTGTCATGAATCAATATGTTTCTTTTTTTTAATGAATCACTGAAATAAATGGTATCCTAATTTATTGAGATGCACCTGTACGTCCACACACCTGCTAAATGGTTGAGTGTGGTATGCACATTTTGTTTACATGTAGTACTGAACAGTGACAGTGTGTGTTTAAGTCAAAGCTCAGGCAAAAACGATCTTAAGAGATTTGGTTCAAGCAGCTGTGAAGCTAAAAGAGATGAATAGTTTGCAGGCAGTGTTTAAGGTGTAGAATGACATTCCTCTGATGTGAAATTAGAGCCCCCCAAAAAACGGAGCAAGCTTGCTCCTATCCATCATTTACCTCCTCTGCTCATAAGGAGCAAAGACAAAGGGGGAGCTTTTCTATCCTGTATCTGAGAGACGAGTAGCTGCACTGCTGCCAGCCGCCATTTCACCTACAGGATATAAATTTCTTTATTATTTTTCTAGAAAAGATAGACGCGCGCAGACATTAGCTGAGGTAGCTTGCGTTCTCTGCAGTGTATTGCAAATATATTGAGAAAAAAAGCTAAATACTTTTTTTTAATATTTCAGTTGTACACGAGGTACTGTCATTTTATATTTGGAACATTTTATATCAAATGTATTTATGGTTTTGTGTATATTTATATTCTATAAAAATATACTGCGAAATAAAGAGAGAGAGAATCAGAAAGCATTGATTCATCTATTTATTGCACCTCGTAACTAGTTATTTTGATCAGCTTACCACTAATCACACTGTTTGTGAAATACACTAAAACACTAGATTTTTGTTAATTTCTTTTTCTTTTTTTAATTAATTAATTAATTTAATTTTTTTTGGTTCGGCTTTTCTTTGCTTCTGTTTCGTGGTTTCGGGGGCAGTGTGCGCTTAAATTAAACCAACCGCCTAGCAACCTGATTCAGGGGGTGTGGCTTAGGCTAGGTTCACCTCATAGCAGCGGGTGGGGGAGGGGCCACATGTGAGATTGCATTCATTTTATTGTTAAAATGATGTCATTCCAGTCTCTTCTTGCTGACACTAATATCCTTTCTATCTTTTTTTGTTTCTGTTTGTTTTTGTTTTTGTTTCTAACCACCTAGCCGCCACCGGCAACTAACACATGACCTTCTGACCTCTGAACTCTTCACCCAATGACGAGCCGCCCCAAGCCTGCCTGCTGATCAGTTAACTGGTAATTGCCTTTTGCTAGCCTCTCGGACGCAAGTGGCAGAGAGAGAGGCGCCTGCCCATACAGTTACCCTAACACGTTCTGACAAAAAGATAGAAACCAACGCAGACTCTTCACTGAAACGCAACAAAAAAAAAAAAAAACACACAGCTGTGGATTATTCATTTTATTTTTTTTTCCTCTGTTCATTAGTTCAGTTCCCATTCTTTCTCTTTCTTTTTCCTCATGAATCACGCACCGGGCGGATCTGCTTGTGGTATTACTCATGAATCTGCACTGAATTATAAAGCAATAAAGAACCCCGAACCCACCCGCCTTTAATTACTCTGATTAGGTGACCTCACTCGCTCTCCATCTCCAGTCTGAGAAGCAGACCGTTTTGGTTTCGGAGGGGTCCCCCACAAATTGCCCCAGAACCTTCCTTTAGCAACACCCTACCTGCCCCGCCCGCCCCTCAGACCCCCGTCTGCCACAGCGGAGAAAGAAACAGAAGGAACGGGAACGTTCACTTGCATTAACGTGTTTAATTTCTGTCATTTTTTTTTTTTTACCGACCCCCCCCAAACATGTATTTCAGTTGTTGAGCTTGTAATTATGAGCTGACACATTCTGGGTGTGCCCCTCTAAATGGCTTTCTGTCTGTTTTTTTTTTAAAGCATGGCTAAAATGATTGCAAAAAGAGCTTTTTTTATGATTTATGTTTTTTTTTTTCTGTCTTGATTTAATGCTTTTTTTTTCTTTTTTTTCACTTTTATTGTTTTAAATTTTTCAGTTCAGATTGAACTAATTAGCTTCAGTCTCTGAAACAAAGCAGGTGGTTATCTCTGGAAGTCAGAACAGAGTTTTAGCGTTTGAGGCAGGAAAACAAAAGGCGTGATGGGAGGGGTTAGTTTGGGTTGATGGGTCTGTGTGCGTGTGTGTGAGTGTGTGTTTTTGATTAATACTACAACGAAAGTGGGGTGAGGCTTCGGGGACGTGGGCCCCATCCACACTACGTCCACTATCCAGTGCCTGATGTATTTAGAAGAATATCTCGATGAGTTAGCTGAGCTGTGATCACAAAGATTAAGACAAAAAAAAAAAAAAGTATTGTGTGCATATTTAGCCAAAGGGTTTTCAGTGACTAATATATCTGCAGTTATGCAGCTGTTTGGCAGAGGGCTCTCTTTGTGATTTTTAGTTTGGGTGTCTGCCTTCAGCTGGAACAGGAGTTTTACCCCTTCCTGCTCAGTTTTATTTTCCTGAGGTCAAAACAGGCAATTAACACTAAAATTACATGCTACTCGATTATAGTGAAGTGCCAAGGGAAAAGACACTCATGACAAGCAAGAGGTTTATTGTTTCTGTTTGTTGTTTTTTTTGGCCAATTTTTGCAGATTTATTCCTACTACAGTGGATTTTTTTTCTCCTTTTGTTCCGTTTAGTTTTAATTTTTGTCCTCTGTGTTTTGTGTGTGTAAGTTGGGGCATGAGGTCGACGTAATCCTGACCTTTCTGCATATTATTCTTTTAATTATTTTACTAATGAAACCTAACATATGCCAAACCATCCATAAGTGCATCCACAATGTGTCACACCTCCCTCTGATGGTAGTCCAGCTTCTGAGCCCACGATCCTTCGTTTAAATCTCAAGAAAAAATAGGATGTGAAAGCCATGCCTGCCTGTTCAAATTGCTTTATACATACGTCTTATATATATATATCTATAAATATATATAAATATATAAAAATGTAGATATCTGTCAATGCATATAAAAATACAGATGAGAACAAAAAATAGATAATTTTACAGGGTGCTGGAGATGAGAAAAAATCTATCTATTTTTGGCAATTTTAGCTTTTGATACTTTACTTGCAGTTATAAAATAATGATAAAAAATTAACAAAAACTTTTTCCGACAGAGGAAAACTGAACGCGAGTGGGTGAGGAGCCTGGAATCTAATTGGGAAAAGGAAAGACTAAAGCAGTCAGAACCATGGGAGATCAGAGCGAGACAGGATCAAATCAAAGTGCCTTATCAACAGTGGTTTCTGTTTTTTAGTATTCCAGTTGTGTTTTAAAATAAAACCAATTTAAAAAAAAAACAAAAAAAGGATATCCAGCACCCACCAAGATGGCGCAGAGAGGAACGGCAAGTGTTACACACTCGGAAAAAGTCGAGCTGGGCCTCCGTCGCTACGCCGTGGCGCCGCCCAAGTTACTCTATGCAAAAAGAATAGCAGTCGTTCTGACCAGCTAAAATATGTGCCATGGTTTTTGTCTTCCTGAAAATGATTTTAAGTTTTTCTTTTCCTTCACTTGATGGCCCTTTACTCTGCTGTACGAGCAGATCTTTTCTTCTAATTTAGATTTTATTGATGATATGACTTATTGTGTTTTTAAAGTTTTTTATTTTACTTTGTATGTTGAACAAATTGAACTGCCATTAGCAACCAAGTAGTCTGCCATGAGACGCTCGGATGATGAGCTGAGAAAAATACGCAGCGTTCAGGGAAACGAACGGGAAAGTGTTTGTTTTAACAGCGTCATCCGGTCCACATATCTCCGTGTCAATTTGACAACAAACTATCAGTACAGTAATGAGATTTCTAATGGACAAAGGAAGCGCTGGGTAATGAAACAAGCACCTGCTTCACAGTCAGACAGTTTCCAGTTATTGAAACGACTGACAGCTTATTGCTGAAAGGTGAAAAAAAAAAAAAAATGAAATTGAGAAATTCTTGGATCCAACAGAGCCGTCGGCAGTCTGTTTTCTCTCTCGCTGTTACACCAAAAGGTCAATGAATTATTATTACTTTCTTTTTTTTGTTTTCTACTTCAGTGTTATTATTTTAAATTGAAATGCAATATTAAAGTGGAGAAAGAGATGGCAAATCAGCATCTGACAGTATTAAGAAAATCCCCTCTGCAATGTTCCACCATGCTGTGTCATTGTGAAAGGCTGGATAAGTCCATCAGGTGAAAGGTTGACTCTATACCTACCGTATTCTCTCTGGCCTGCCTACTACATGTATGATAATGTAATTAACAGCCATTGTTACAGGTTTATAATGTATTTTTCTAATCTCATTTTATATGTATATTAATCATGTTTCTGAGTGTTTTTTTTTCTTAATTTTTATGAAACCCACAGCTCCCCCTGCCCTCCCATCACCTCTTCTCCATCTCAAGCTGTCTCCTGTGGGGAGTTTTGCCTTCTTCTCTGTTAGATTTTTGTTTTTTCTTGCCAACTCCCAGCTTGTTTAACTCATTAGCGACTTTATTAGTTTCCTTGTCATAAGTATTTTTACATGCTTGCATTTAGTTTTCATGGTGTATGCTGTTATTTTTCTTATTAACCTCTTGGCATTTATTTTAATAAAACATTCTTAGTAAGAATTTTACTAACTTGCTGATATTTTGTCTTGTGTTTTTAACCTGTTTCATGAATGTTATTACCCTGGTCTGGTTCACGGACTAACACGATTAAAACCAGCGTATGGCCACGACCTTTACTCACCAACACATGGGGACACACACACGTATATGCACACACACACACAACCTAACTCAGGGGTGTCCAAAGTGCGGCTCCAGGGCCATTTGTGGCTCTTAATTGATTTTGTTCAAGAATAATACAAATTTGATCTGTCGATGCTGCAAAAAACAAAATCATACCAAGTATAATTTTCTCACGATGCAGAATGTTAAATGTGGCACAAAACATGAGTTTTTTCAAAACAAAGCTTTTTTATAACTAAACAAATTCGACTATTACTGAAAGTGTTTGTTTTGACTTTACTGCCCAAATCAGCTTTTATTTTATTTATGAAAGTTGGCGAAATCTATCAACAAGTGTTCTTCAAGCTGGGAATAAACTTGTTGAAGTGAAGCCAAAACAAGTTGAAAACTAGATTCCTTTCCTTTAATACAGCAAACATGAAAAATGTTCAGTTCTGAGCTTTTTACTTTTGACTCTGTGATTTTGTGACAAAAAGTTTGGACACCCCTGACCTGAGAGGAGAGAGCACGGTTCGGGTGGGATGGTGGTCACTGCTGCTGTCACGCTGCCTGCTCAGTTCCAGCACTGCTGCTGCGTCCGGCCGTCTCCTTTATGGACAAATCTTAGTCCTCCTGTCCCTCTGTGTCACTGAACCCTGCAGGAAATGAAGGCGAGTGAAAGCGACATGCTTGTGTCAGGGTTTGCAGTTTTGAGTCTTAAAAAGCTGCACAATGTGGATCTCAAAAGTGTCAAGTTGCTTGATTTTTGTGACTTTTCTCAATCATTGCAGAGGGTATTCTACTTCCACTGTGACCGATATCCTGTGCAGTTTAGCTGAAAATAGGCTAATCTGCCTCTGAGAAAGCCAACAGCAACACAGGAAGCTGCAGAACCACAACTGATTGTTTCCTTCGTTAAAACTGCTTTTCCCCCCCGACAAAAACATTGCAACATGACTAAAATTAATAATAAAAGCTGATTTTATGATCTGATTGATCTAAAATTAAATCTGTGGGTCACATTTCTAATATTTAAACATCACAAAATGAATGTTATTCACACAGTGAAGCATGGTGGTGGTGGCATCAGGATCAGGGGTTCCTTTTTGTCTTATTTTCTTCTGATAGAGCTCCAAATAAGTCATTTTTGACCCAAAACCTTCAGGTGTTTGCTACAAAGTTGAAGATAAAGAAGAAATTTATATTTCAGGTTGACATTGACTCCAAACTAAAAACATGTTTTTAGTTTAGTTTAAAAATCGGAACTTTAAAAGCCAAAATCCAGAAATAAATTTTGTGCCACCTACCAACGAGGACGGAATGCGCCTTTTAAATTGAATAGTTTGTTTTCAGCTAAGTTGTTCAGGTTATTTATATTATTAAATGCAGTAAAACTTTTCCTGGCTCTTGTTATTTTCCGCCATAAAAGCGGCCTCTTTCTAACTGGGACGTGTCCACTTTTAAGAGCCGCTCTAATCCCCGAAGATAAAGCTTTTCTCCTGCCATTAGTTACTGCAGCACTCATCACAATCTGTTCAAAAAAATACTTCACATTAGTCATCTCAGAGGGATTAAAGTTACTGTGAACGTGTTGGGCAGAAAGCCACATCAGCACACATTTATTAAAAAAAAAAAAAAAAAGTTATTTACAGCTGACACTCTGAGCAGATTTATGGAAGACGGTCTAAAGCCGGCCATTTTTGTTGTTCCCGTGGGAAGGGCGGCGTTACAGTTATCTCCAGCTGTTGTCTGTTCGACGAGCACTTCTCCCCGTTCAGCTTATTGACGGAACAACTACCGCTGGGCCATTTGGGAGCATCTATGCTGCTTAGACACACACCAGTGCACCGTGCCAATATGAAGCACTCTGGGATCAAAACAAGCTCAGTGTTGCAGACTTTCAGTGGAAAATGTTTGGCTTTCAGCTGGCCGCCACTTATTGTTTTTCTGGTAGTTTTATTCTTCTTTTTTTTTTCTCCATTTGAAGCGCCGCCAGTACTGCTTGTTCATTTCTCCTCCCTGGGTTCACGCAGCTTTTTTCCTCTTTCCACTAATTCGGGGTATTGACACTGACTCAACCAAACGATTAACGATATTAATCCTGATTCCTTAACACAACAAATGGCACTTCCGGAGTTATTTTGTTTTACACTCTTTTCTCCATTTTTTTTTCTCCCCATTTCACTGCAACAATAACCTCGCCATTAAACGCGGTGATTCCTTTTATGTCTCAGCAAGAACAAAACAAAAACATCAGAGCTAACATCTCTCCTCTCTGGAATTAACATTCAGATTGTTGCTTTGATCTGAAGACGGATCAGCTGCTTTAAAACTTGTGAGCAGAGGCAGGGATGTGATTACAGGCAGCAAAATTGTTTTTTTTAAATATTTTTTTTATGGATGTAGGGTTGTCAGACTTACTCGTCTCTGGTTGGTTCTTAGTGTTTTTCCTCTTCCGTACGACACCAAGCGACTTCAGCTCAAATCCGTCCATTTTGTTCAGATCAGAGAGAATTTCTGATTTTTGTGAAGCACATACAGATGCATCTCAGTAAATTAGAATATTATAGAAAAAAATATTATTTCAGTAATTAAATTAAAGGGAAATTCATATTTATATAGATTAGACACAGAGGGATACATGTCAACCAGTTAAGTGTGTTGCTGTTGATGATTACAGCTGGAGAAAAGTGAACTCCTGTGTTGACTTGATAAAACCCAGTGGACTCCAATATGACTGGATTCCTCATTCAGACGCTGAGACGTTACGTTTTCAATTAAAACCAGAATCTAATTCAGCAAAAGTCCTTGTGATTATCCTCCAAACTCTTGAATGGAAATTTACCTGACTCTGTTCTTCCTTCCACTAAATTTTCCATTCATATACTTGGATAGCACACTCTGTATTCAGCCATCATCTTTGGAAGCTGCTTTTTTGTGGCTCATTCTGCAGCTGCACTGCAAATACACAAAATTTTATCAACTATTTTGGTCTAGTTTTTAAAGCAAATATCTTATCACGCTTGAAATAAGACAAAACTAAACTTTTCAGCCAGATGTAGGAGTGTGTTTTAAGTCAATACTTTCTTAATATTTTTGAAAAATTACTACTTCCTCTGGCAGATTATTTAACTTATAAAAATACTTTTTTTTTTGAGTGAAACAATCTGCTTTTATCCTTTAAGGAATTATCAACTTAAAACCTATTTCTTGCTGATGAGTTAATTATAAATTAGGTTTATCTTCTACTAAGACTTTTGCACTAGAAACTAAACCAAAATACTTGGTAAGATTTTATATTTTTGCAGCGTGCAGTTGCCTGTGATCGAGTACAGGTTTTCCTTCCACTCAACCTTCCAATAAGTCATTCTCGTCAGCCAATGCATTTCTAATTTTTAATGTTAATTCTTTCATTGTGAATTTGCTGTAATCCATAATCAACAAAATTAGAACGAATAAAAGTTTGAAATAAGTCGGTCTGTTTTTAATCTATAAAGTTTGTGAATTTCCCCCTTTTCAAATGAATTGCTGAAATAAATAATTCTTTCAATCATATTTTAATTGCGCTTTGAATTAAAAACTGCCTAAGGTGTTTCAGTTAGATTGTAGAAGTGCCTCTTTCTCTCAGATTTGGAAAATATATATTTTTGTACTTTTTTATTATTAATGAGCTAATTTTGGTCTTTCCCTTTATCTCACAAAAATGTTTCAGGGTAATGTGTAAATATATTTTAAACTGGAAGGGAATTCCACCATTAAACGTTGAATTTCTAGTTTCTGTTTGCACCGCTGAGAACCGGTTTCTTCTTCTTCTTGTCTGACTGGACCACAGTGTGCAGGAAACGGCGGTTTGCACACTGCTGCCGACTCTGGTGCAGATCTCAGTTATTTTCGGGGCATTTAAATGTGTTCACCTACCAACAATCGTTGACCTTTTCTTCTGTTTAACAAACATTCCTCTGTTCAGTCAGACTGCAGGCGAACCCTCCTGGGTGGTTAAACAGTGAAAGCTAACAAGATTCAAAATGGAAACAAGTTTATCCCCACTGGATTTTACTTTGTCTCGTTTTTATAACTGTGATGAATATGCAGTTAAAAGTATTAAAAGCCTTTCAGAAACCTATGCTAGCATGACTGTAAACTGCTAGTTTCCTATTCATGTAGTGGTGCACTAATACCTGGGAATTATGTTTGAGTTTGTATGTGAAGTAGCCTTTATTTGTGTGTGTTTTCTTTTGTTATTGAAGGTATTAAATTCAGAGGTTGTTCAACATGTATTGCCACTTTTTGTTGCCCACTTTCCCTCCAAACAAACAAACAAAAAAAACCTGAAGTGTGCAATAAAAAAAACATATTTTCAAGCTTCACTCTGACTGCTCTACCTGGACTGATGATTGCTTCTTTATCCGTGACATCCTGTCTTTGAATTTGCTCTAAGATTTCAGGTAGGTGAAACACTTCAACAGGGAATTAAAGGGAAAACAAAAAGCTGACCTTAAGAGTTCAGATTAAATGGAGCCTTTTTCTTTTTGCCTTGATAAAGATTTTCTCCTTCCTATTTTTCTGGTTTTGTACCTTTAGCAGTCATATATCAGGCTCAAAGTTAACAGAGCAGTGTTACCACTCTGCAAGATCAGCTCAAATGAGGCTGAAGAGACAAAGGTGTCATCTCATCTTTGCTGCATGCAGCAAAGTCATAGCAGAGGTCAGCCACTCGCTAACAGCCTGAATGAGCTGGATGCTGTTTATGCAGAGCCCTGCAATCATGTTCTTGTTCACCCAACTTTTCCACATTTTGTCACATTGCAACCTCAAACCTGAGTGTATTTTATTGAAATTTATGTGTTGGACCACAGTGTTTTTTTAGGATAACTTCCTTAAACAAGAAGTGCAACTAACTGTCTTCAGAAGTGGCCTAATGAGTCTGAGTGTAATTTTCATTAAAATGCAAGAAACTTTCTAAATTAGCTCCTATTTGCCTTTATGTTCAGTCTAAAAACTACAAATTTGACTAAAATGAATTATGTTTGTTAATATTTTACAAGAGTGTGTATTAAGTAGCATAAAGCATTTTTATAAAAGTGGTTGAAGTTGGTTTTGTTGCAGTTAGGGTGAAAATGAGCAGTTTTAGATGGTGGACCTTTGTATTACTTAGTTTCATTTATTTAAAACGGGCGACAATGTGCTAAAAACTTTAATAAAAGATGCTTTGTACAAGATTTTGCTTAAGCTAGTTTCCATCTGTAGTCCTTGAACAGGTGAGCTAATAAAACTCTTATCATAAAAATTACATTGAAAGTCCCCATTTAACCTGCATTTACTGTACAAACTCATAAAATTACAACAACATAAAAAGTGCTAAATGACAAACTTCTGCTCTGTAATCACTGATGCCAGATTCACTTTTTAACTCTGTAACCTTAAAGTTATTCAATCATCAACCATAATGCAATCAGTGAAAGAGAAACACCTTTCAATAGGAAGAAACCTCCTGCAGAACCAACCGACTCAGGATCTGAGGCTTGAAGCTGTGTTTGCAGACTAAGGTGCTTCTATCAAGTATTGATTAATCTATTTTTGTTGGATTTTCTTGAAAAAAAAATAGCAAAAATGTGGGTCAGTTTACCACACAAAACAAAACTATACTTTATGTTGGAATTTTGCATAAAATCCATTGAAGTTTGTGGTTATAAAGTGACAGATTGTGGAAAAAATTCAAGCCTGCAAGGCTCTGCGCATGCAAACATCAGAAACAGAAAGAATCTCAGAGTATCTGTAACCTGATCAAATTTTAAACAGAAGCTCAGATTCCTCTGAATAATCTGATGATTTATCATTTCATTCATTCTCCAAGTCTTTTTAATAAATTGTGATTCTGTCAATAATAAAGATACTTGAAGCTGAATTCTGTGTCGCCCCATTCATCAAACACTGAATACACTTTACATGGTCAGGCCTCAAAAGGTCAAAGAAACAAACGGAAATATATTGATATAATCCTTTCTGTCTGAGGCCCCTATGCTAAAAAGGGAAGGTAGCGATCAATAGCACATGTTTGACATCCATAATCATGACTGGATTTCATGGTTTGTTACCCAAATAGCATCCTGCCTGGTGCAGGAGACAGCCTCTAATCTTCCAGAAAGGTAAGAACAGACGTGTAAAACCTGAAAATCTCTAATGCTGCTGCCGTCCAAACAACCTGCGAGGACGAAAGACCCAAAACAGAAGCTTAATCCTATCATCGGGAAATGAGTAAAGGTATGTATGTTCACTCTAATCTGGGCTGTGGATTTTCCTCCTGTGGATCCGCCAGCTGGATGTGAAGTGTTGTTTCTCATTTTCCCTGATAAACACATATAATCTCCACTGTGGGTTAATGAGATTTACTGCATCTAAATATTCTTTAGGGGGTAATTTTATATTTCACTTTGTGAAAATGATGATTTTACTGGAAAGTTGAGGGAAACGAACATCCACCTGAGGAAGTAAAGGAGATCCAGATTAATAAGTGTCTGGATTCCAGACACCGTGGCAGAAAATCATTGATTTTCTGGATATTAATTAATCCAGACCATTTTTACACAATGTCAAAAACACCATCAAAATATTTTATTTGTATGGGTTTTTTTTCTAAATTATTAAAGTTTTTACAATCTCAACCGTTAAATTTCTTTAAATAAAAAATAATTACATTTTTTGAAATAAAATAGAATTGATTTAATTTTTGAAAATATAGCAATAAGAAAATTTTAAAATAAAAAATAAAGAAAAATATAAAACAACATATGGATGTTGTAAAAAGATGTGTTCTTTTTTTCACAAACCCTGTGGGTGACAACAATATGTTTTTTTCACAGACTTTTGAGTGGCACCACTATGTGTTGCTGCCCTTGCATGAAGCCAAATTGCACAATTTATCAACATGGAAATCCAGATCTTTTGCATTTGCACTTATTTTATCCGTATTTAGTAAAGACAAATAATCTAAATGGTTGGAAATGGATATCTGATTGCGGCTCATGCTGGCTCCTCTGCAGGAACGACAGGATGTCTTCCTCTCTCATTGCTGGAGGACGGAGCCGCCTCTGAATGGGTCGATGGGGAGCAACAGCTTATGAAGGGGCTGCTGGAAGTGACTTTAATGTTATGCAGGAAGCGAGTAGTGAGGAAGAGCAGAGGAGGAGGAGGGTGGTGATGCTGGCGTTGGCCCCCGGGAAGATGCATCAAAGGAGCATTTGTTGCAGAGACCAGCTGGGAGTATAATGGCAGAAAGAGAAGCGGCGTTAGCGCCTGCGTGTGTTTTGAATGGCGAGACTGGAAGGGTTGCATCAGTGGTGACAGATGAACCTGCTTCCTGTGGAAAGAATACGGGGCATTCATCAGCGTGCAGCTGTTTCTCTCTGTCTCTCACTCCATACGAGACTTAAAGGCCTTCAGAGGCCACAGTTGTTGCAGGACTCAGGCTCACATGTTGATGAATGATCTCTATTTTTTCTTTCGGACACCTGTGGAAAGTGACAGTAAAAGCTATTGGATTTTGTTTTTTCAGAATATGCAGCAAGAAAACAAATTTTTTAAAAAAAGCAACTTTAGTTTATTTGGAGGCAGGAGGAATAAGTAGGAGTCGCTTTTGACACTTTGTGAAATTCATCACCAAACTACCAAAGAGCACAGGTGACGGTTTCCTTTAAAGGGAATCCACAGTTCCAAGAAAAGCTCTTGGAAAACACATGAGTTGTTGGCAGATGTGTCATAAGATCTCCAGGCTCAAATGTCTTCATGTGGAGGAGAAAAACCCCAGACAGCTCAGCTGACGGTTCCCATACAGACACACCGAAGCCAAACCTGAACTGTTCGTCACGCCGCTTCTGTTTAGACAAAATGATGAATCCTCCTCACCAGTGCAGCTTCTGCTCTGTTTCTGTGTTGAGTGATCCAGACAGGTGTGAATACTGCGGGCCTGCTGTGTCACTGAATGCTGACAGACATCGTCTAACAGGTGTGTATGTGTGTGTGTTACAGTCTTCATATCCCCCTCCAACAACAGCACAGCGTTTTGCTTCCCTGTCGAGGTAAATTCACTCTAATTGGCAGATTTGATGCCAAACTAGAAAAAGCAAACAGGATGAGGTGACCCCGCTGCAGCGAGAAATGGATGAATAAGGTAAGTGTGACGCATTTGAGGAACGAACAGAACAGAACAGAACGGCATTTCACTGTTGTAATTATGCGTCTCACAAAGTATGGGTGTCAGATTTTTGGCCATAAATAATTTTTCTCAGCTGTTGCATGGAGGAGCAGTTGGTTTCTGTGCAATAAGAAGATTTTGGTTCAAATCATTTTGATGCCAAAATGTTGTTTATTACAGCCATTCAAACAGATTATAATGAATAGATAATAGAACCTATGCACCTACTGACACACTTCACAATACTGACAAACAATTGTATTTAAAAAATACAATACAGTGCACAAGTTTTCAGTTTTTAGTATCATAAAATAAATAAGTAAAAAACAAATACAAAACCAACACACCTCTACATTTCAGTTTATTAAACTAAACCCAAAAAAATAATAAATAAAAAAATCCTTTCGATGTAACATTTTTGCGCTACATGAAGTGATTTTGTAGCTGTATTAAGGTGGATGTATGTCACAAACTGGATTACAATCATTATTATTACTGTTAGCTGATTTGCTAATCAAGTGAGCCATTCTGGAGGAAACTTTAAGCAGCTGTCATGTTGACCTGACAGTCTCCTCTATCAAACTGACCTTTATGTCAAAGGTCATTTAGCAGGCCAAGACCTGGACCAGAATCTCCTTTCCTCCTCTAGATGCAGACATGAAGAGAGAGAAGAGAAATGAAAATAAAATGACACGGATGTCAAACAAATGTTTAACATACAAACTCTGGAGCTCCAGCTCCTTCAGTAGATCTCCTCTCAGAAAACATCCTTCAGGATGATCGACTAGGATCGATTTCTAGGGAGAAGAAGAGATCAGAGACAAGACAAAGTGGCACATATTACTCAAATGAACAAAGGCTCATAAAATCCTCATTGTAGAGCTTCACTGACCATGCTTCAGTTACTACTGCTGCAGCTGCTAGATAGTTTTTTCCTCCTGCCTTTGTGCTCACATTTCCTTTCTTATGCAAGTAAGTAGAAATATCTTTTCCTTATCTCCTCCAGAGGTTTAGCAGCTCTGAAACCAAAGCTTTTCAGCTGGACATCAATCAAGTTTGGTTTGCTAAGCTTCAGCTACAGTCGTGTGTTTACATCCAGCCATCATGAAAATCAATGTCCTATTAGTTTTAGGTCATGCAGTTCGTTGGTGTGAGGGTGGAGGACCAGAGGGCGGG